CCTCCTCCTCCTCCTCCTCCTCCTCCTCCTCCTCCTCCTCCTCCTCCTCCTCCTCCTCCTCCTCCTCCTCCTCCTCCTCCTCCCCTCCTCCTCCTCCTCCTCCTCCTCCTCCTCCTTTCCCCCTCCTCCTCCTCCTCCTCCCCCCTCCTCCTCCTCCTCCTCCCCTCCCTCCTCCTCCTCCTCCTCCTCCTCCCTCCTCCCTCCTCCCCCCCTCCCTCCTCCCTCCTCCCTCCTCCCTCCTCCCTCCTCCCTCTCCCCCCTCCCTCCTCCCCCTCCCTCTCCTCCCTCCCTCCCTCCCTCCTCCCTCCTCCCTCCTCCCTCCTCCCCCCTCCTCCTCCCTCCCCCTCCTTCCTCCCTCCTCCTCAAACCCTCAAAATCATGAAATTGATCTTCACTGACACTTCCATCTGTGTTAGAGCATCACTTGGGAAGAGCAGAGTCCCAGATTTGCTGGGGATCACATAATTTTCCCTTTCCCCTAGACAATGCTGAGAAAGGAGGACTGAAAAAGGTATTCCCACAATGCACCCTGCTCCCCGATTTTTTTTATATGGTGCCCACTGACCATGAGACCCATTCTCTCACATTGGCCCTACCAGACTTTCTCCTGCTTGATTTGAAGCCGCTAGAATTTATGCGTATAGATACGTCAAACACGGGATCTCCTATGACGTATATATACGACCGCGACAGTCAAGGGTTAATGGTCTGAGATGATTTATTTTTATTGAGCCCCATGCACAAAGTCCATAGGTGAGATGGGTAAATGAGTAAGTGACATAGGGCCAGGAGGGCTGAAGATGTGAGTAAACATGATGACTCAGTCCTTGTTGCTCTCTCGAGAACAGAGAGCTAGATGGATAGACAGATAGTCAGGGAGCTTGACAGACAAACAGATAACAGGGAGCTTGACAGACAAACATATAGACAGACATGTTTGTGTACCAGGGTTTATATCCAGGGGGGAAAGGGAAGGAAGGAGGGTCGGGTTGTCCTAGGAAGGTTGGAGGGGGGAAGGAGAGTATTTTTCCAGGGGGAAAGGGAAAGGAAAGGGAGGGATCAGGTTGTCCTGGGAGGTAGGAGGGGAGTGGGAAAAAAAGTCAAAAGTGGTAGGGTGCTCAAAATACAGAATGGGGGGGGGGGGTTTTTTTTTGGGGGGGGGGGGGGACTGGAGTGTGTGTAGACATTGCTTTGAAGGATTGAAGTTCTTTTGGGAGTGTGAGAAAGGATGTTCTAAGGGATTAGGGAAACCGTTAACCAGACTTTGACCCAAAAGGTGTGAAGTATTGCCCCTGTACTTGAAGGAGGGGGGGAAATGTTGCGGTCAAAAGGTCCATTTCAGTTTGATGTTGGTATTTTGTGGTGGTTTTTGCTTTTAAGGTCAGTTTTTTTTATTGTGAGTTACACCTTTGGTTCACCTTTTGTTTCTGGGAAATGCAGTAAAAATGTTTTTTTAAATTTTGTGATCACCCAATTTTTTTAAAAAATGTGTTTTAGACGTTATGTACTTTATACTTATATAACAAAGTTTGTGTCACTTCCCGCTTAACGAGGATTTCCCATTCCAAAGCCACGTTGGTAAAAGGGAATTTGTTGCTAAGGGGAGCAACAGTACTATAACGTGGGGGTTTGTGTCAACATCTTTGTTATTGTTTTAAATATCACCTTTGCACCATTTATAATATTTTGCATTTTTAAGTGTTTATGCGTTTTGTACTGTTTTTGAATAAAACAGATTAAAAGAATCGTCTTATATAATTTTTTAAAATATGATATTTGTCGAAAGCTTTTGAAAGCCCCAGGTGTGGGTAAATGGTACGTTGCAAATGAGGAGAGGTGTACTGTACGTATGTCTCCATGTGCAGAAAGTAAAATATGATGTTGCCCCATATTTTACCTAATTCATGCCCCCCATTTTTTTTGGGTATATGTTAGTAATATTTTAAAATTAAAAATTCAATTCAAAGTTAATTCTTATAAGGATTAAAATGCTGGTTTAAAAATTTTGGGTTATTGTGGGGTTTTACAGTTTTAAAATATAATTACAGGTGTACACTAGAACCCTAGCTGGCTGGCATTTCGGGCAGACTTGATTAAATTTAAATTTTAAAATATTAAAAAAATTTGAGGTAAGTTGGTTTTGGCTAAGTGACTAAATATAGTTTGTAAATTTTAGCAATGGAATCTTTTTTTTTGGCATATACTAGTTTCGTATTGGAGTATCACGGCCATTAGATATTTAAAATTCTTATTTGAGATTGAGTTTGTTTTCTCTTTATGGTAAAATGGGTGAGTGGTGAAAGTGTTAACACAGGTGGTATTTTTTGTAATTATTTGCGGGGTATCGGGGAGAAGATGTTTTTGTTTGGTAGTTTGAAGGTGTGATGTGTTTACAGTTCTAGGTTTTCAGGTAGGGTTTTTTTCCAAATTTTGGGGCCCTTTGATAATTGAATTTTTGAAAAAGGTTTAGTGGCCGAGGAATTCGAGATGTTGTGTCTGGTTTTGTGCCTGGGGCCCTGTCACAATACAAGAAAGCTTTTTGGGGCGGTTTATTGGATTTTAAAGGTTGTAGATGTGATTGCCAGTAGTAAGTGTGGATGTACTGAACAGGGAGTAATTTTTGATTATAAAGAGTGGGGGGGGGTTGCCGGGGAGGGATTTAGTGATTTTTCTTACTGCGCTTTTTTTTGGGGTTTTTATTGGCTTTAGGTGGTTGCTGCAGTTGAACCCAGCACAGTTAGCATAGGTGAGGTATGGATTATAAGTAAATGGTTTGTTGAGAAGGGCAGTTTGCGGCATGTATATCGTATTTTGGAGAGGACCCCAACGTTCGGTATTTTTGGTATGTGTTGGATAGGGGTGCTGAAAATTCAGGTTGTTGTCGAGGTATGGGCCTAGGAATTTCCCCCTCTTTTGCCTGGCAATTAGAGTTTTTCGATTTTAAACCCTTTCAGGGTCCGTCAAAAGATCTCGCTCCGTTGGTGTAAAAGCCGTAGTCTATGCCAAAATTCTAGCGCCTTTCAAATTTAGCCAAAACACTCAAGGCCTACATGTGAGAGAACGGGTCGCGTGGGGGTGTGCCCCAAAAAAAAAAAATCAGGGCCCGCATAGATTGTGGGAACGCCGGTCTTACCCTTTTTCACACCCTTCGCAAGCAGCTGTCAGCTCTCACCCCCTGGAAATTGGGACTTCCTCTTCCATCTGTAGTTCTGACATGATGGAAGTGGAAATGAAGACGTTTCTACGGTTTTGATCAGTTAGTGAGAAAAGAATGACCAGGAACGAAAATAGTGCAAAAAAAAAACCCCGCGATCCTCAACCTTTCCCTTGGTGTGGGCCCGGGACTCAGGGTCGGTTTTTCCTCAACGCAAGAGAAAACAAATATTTTCGCGGGGCCCCGGGCCCTCTGATTCAGTAATGTGATGATGTGAGTGGATGTGATTTTATTGCGTCGAGATCTTGGAGTGTGATATGAGGAATGATATTCCCCAGTGAAGCGTCGGTATGTTCCCCGCCACATGCACCGGGTGTTTTACCTATCTGTGCCCAGGGGAGGAGTACATCCGGAGTACACCGGGGGGCCCCACACAGTTTTAGGTGTGATGTGAGGATGTGTGGTACACTTGGTTTGAAGACCAAGGCATCCCATGGATGGGGTTGTGGTGATGGTAGTGGACCGCCTGTGTGACACCAGGCCACGTGGGACCCACGGTGATTTTGTTAAAGGACAAAGGGGCGTCAGCCCAGCCCCCAAAACCCAAAACCACCCGCAAAAACAGCCTATGAGCCCAGTATCCACTAGAAAAACGTATGGGGGTTTTGGCAGCAAAACCCCAATTTTTTTCCAAAAGCCCACCCTTTTGATGATTTAAAAGGGGGAATTCTACCTTTTGTCCCCTAGGAACCACGGCCAATGAAGGGAATTCTTTGAATTATTCTTGACCGCCATTGATGGAAATTATTGTCGGGGGGAAAGTAAAAAGTTTTTGATACACCATGAAATTCGATTTATCACCACAGTCAAATACACAGGGGGAAAGGCGACTGTTGCAAAAGTGTATTGCTTTTGCAAAAATAATGCTTTCCCTATTCTATAAGCATAATATAAAAGCTATGGCCACAGATGGCTAATTTTTTCCCCGGTTTCGTGAAATCTCCAGTAAAACGGGTTTTTTTTTTTCTTTACATATGTTGCACTTTTTTTGAAAAACCAGGCTGACAGAAGTGCGGTTATAAAAGATTAGAAATGTTTAGTATCTCAAAAAAAATTTCAGAATTTTTTTCCTTTCAAAAATCTGTAATTGACGAGTCTTTGATTTTTTTCAAAGGTAGACTGTCATTCACCCGAATACAGAGCAAGAGGAAACGTTTTTGGTATAAAACTGTTTGTACTCTGTGATTGGCGGGCGGGGTGTTGGATTTGTTGTATCACAGGTGTAAACTTTAAAAGTACCAAGAGGGGTTTTTTGGGGTATCTCAGGTGAATAGTGAGAAAATGGGGCCCACTTTTTTGGTTTAAGGGGCATACATTATATACGGTAACTGGTACAAAGCCCATTACTCATTTGATTTCTGTGAGTAAACAAGACGTGTGTGTGGCACAGGCGTTTAATCGTAAAAATATCCCCGGGTCAACGAGGTGCTATGTGAGAGTGAGGTGTTTACTGCCGTGACATCATGGCTTCGGTGGCATGAAAAAAGAGATGTCACATTGTTGACAACCTTTTCCCTAAAAAAACCAGACGTGGCAAAATTTGGGGAGGGGACAAATGAACGTATTCGAAACCGTGACAGTGATTGATTATCACAAAACATGCGCGGGTTTGAAAAAATGTGACATCAGTTGGGTTTTGTTGCTTTTTTTCGAAAGAGTTACAAGGGGTACATAAAACTTTTTTCCATTCATGGAATTTCAATGCTCAATGCTTTTAAAATATGTACCAAATAAGACTGGCAAAGCCACGTATGGTGAAATTTTTTTTGTTGTTGTCGAAATCATAATGAAAGACCAGGTAAGAAACCTGCATACAACACGGTCCCCGAATTCCCCAGGAATACCCAAGCTTTGAGGGGGGAAAGGGGATCATTTCATAAAACAATTTCCCTTAACCAGAAGAAATTTTTCGAAGGATGCATCTTGTGCACAAAAAAACGACGGCAACAAAGACCAAAGACACCGGTTTATGTATGAAAAAGTAAGGTGCCCGTGCTGGTGCCTTGTTTAAGGGGTTCCACAAGCTCCGCGTTCTAAAACCCTGTCCCGTGATTTTAATATGAAAATATGTGAACATTAGTATTATCATATTTTTGATGTTTTTTGTAAAAAAAAAAAGTGGTAAAAAAAATAAAATGATAATAACTTTAGTGCAGTTATTGTGTTCAATACAGTGAGTTTATATATATACTTATATACAGTATGGTCTCAGGCCCCAAATGTTAGTAGGAATGAAAAAAAATTGGAAAAAAAAAGAAAAAAAAAATGAAAACCCCAAAAAATGAATGGCGTTTTGGGGAAATTGTCGATGTTGGCCCAATCATTTTTGAAAACTTCTTGGGCCCGTATTCGTTTTAAATACTGATCAGAAATTTTTTTTTTTTTCTTTTACCTTCACAAAAATATGTCTTTAATTTGTAAGAAAAAAAAAATTTTTTTTTTTTTTAAAATTTTTGGACCTGGGACCACTTAGTTTTGGTCTTGGACCCTAAAGGGCTTAATGTTAATTTTAGCATCTCCCGTTGCTACCAAACATAATTTTAGTAGGTTTTGTCAGTGTTAGCGTAAGTTTTTGGCTGTCATCCAATTCGATTTTTGATCAGCTCCTCATTAACAATGGTGTCGAGGGGGGCAAAATTTTAGGTGAGGACAGACATAAGTCATGTCTAGCAAAAAGGGAAAGGGGTTCGGTGTTGATAGTTTGGAGATTTTTGAGTATATGAGGAAGAGCGGGGACCAAGGACATTCCCGCGGAACTCCCGTATAAGTGGCCATGTTGTTGTGCTGTGTCTTTAATGGTGACTACGACCCTTTTGTAAGGTAAGTTTGAAAAAATTTCAAGTGCTGGCCTTTTACCCTAATGGTAAGTTTTTTGGGGTAGGATGCCATGGTCTTTCTGGTCAAAAGCTTTTCTTAGGTCAATAAAAAAATTCCCAGTGGATATTCCTTTTTTTCCCAAACTGTGTAAAAACAGATCGCATTTTTTTTGAATGCCCTTGTGTTTATTTTTCCTAATCCAAATTTGGGAGGGGGGTTTTAGTATGTTTTGTGCCCTTAAAAATGAATTAGTTCCTGTGACGAGTTTCTCAAAAATTTTGGTAGAATTGTAGTTTGTTTGGCCCTTTGTTGTTTAAATCGTAGGGTCACCACCTTTATGTTTTGTTTAACCTTGCGTCTTGGTAGTTTTGGGGGAAGGTGTAGTTTCTGTGACTTTTAAAAAGTAAAGAGTAGCATGCGAGAGGGGTGGGGGCCCCTCGCTTGTACAATAAAGGTGGGGAAAGAGACAGGGTTCCCCGAGTTATTTTTTAAATGACTTTTTAAATTCGGTGACTTTCCCTGGGATCAGTTGGGGCAAGATAGAAGGATTTGGGGGAAATTCCCATTGGGGTTCCCCCGGTGGGCATTGGCGTGGGATTTTTTGGCGAGATTTGAACTATGGTTTTAGAAGAAGTCATTTATCTTTTTTAGCTTGGGCAGTGGGGGTGCGTGGTGTTTCATTAGGTTTTAGTTAGGCAATATTTTGGTTTTTTTTGTTTGTGGGTCCTAGAATCTTTGGGGAGTGTTTTCCAGGTCTTTTTTATATCCCTCTTGTGCTGAATCTATGGAGTAGTAAGTTTTTGCTTTCTTTATTACTTTGGTGGGATGATGATGGTTTAAGATATCTTTGTGATTAAGCCCTGTCTATTTGCTTTTCATATTGGTGTTTTTATCAAGGATTTTTAGAATGGTGTGGTTAGCCATGGGGAAAACCGTTTTTTTGTGATCGTTTCGTTTTTTTTTGGAAAAATGGTAATACAGGGACCCCCGGGTTGGAATTAATCGTTTCCTGGGCTCATTGTAAACCAAAATTTAGGAAGCGAATCAATTTTCCCTAAGAAATAATGGAAATCAAATTAACCCTGCAAGACCCCAAAAGATGAAAAAAAAAAAACTTTGGGGGGGACATGAAATATTAATTTTAATGCAATAAAATAAATTTAAAAAACAAAAATAAAAATAGATAATTGACACTTTCCTTTAAAGAAGATATGATGTGATTGATGGGTGGGAGGAGGGGGGTGTTGAATATTGTTTAAAGGGGATTCCCCTCCTTAGGACTTGAGGTAGCTTTTCCTTGATAAAGTGGTCCTGTTGGCAATTTCTTCCAAAACAGGCCCGTTTCATCAATTAAAATTGTTAGGTTTTAAACCCTTTAGCCTCTATGTACCTTTTGAAATTTTGCACATATTTTTCAGCCGTTTTTGGTTGAATGGCAGTCACCCTGCTAATCCACTATGTATGCCCCTCGATTCTTATTTTCAACCAAACCCTTTACTGGCTTAAATTCACTCACCACCATGTTGCAGGCAATTTTTTACCAAAACTCATGCAATTCCCAGCTTTTCCAAAATGATCGTTTTGAGAGTGCTATCTCCTGCATCTGTTTTTTTATTTATCCACACCAAAAACGTCTTCAAATTTTTAAAAATTGCAGTACTGTTTTAATAAAAGTTGCACCTTTTGCAAAAAAAGTTCCTTGTTTGCCCTTTTCCTGCTCACTTAAAAGTTGAGATGGTTGTTGAGGTTTACTATCAACTGGCCAGCTCCGACACCGCACTCACTTTTGTACTTTTCAATTATCTCTTTCTTCATTTTAATAGTCATTAGAGTCATTAGCACCCTTGGTCTTGAAGGGTTGGCACTAGAAGCTTTCTTGGGGCCCATGGTGACATATTTTGCAGAAACAAGCACCAAAAACAGTGATAATATGGATAATATGGAATGTACCGAATGTATCCTTAGATGCACGCACACTGGCTGGCTAGTAAACACTGGTACACATGGGGAAGTTCAGGCCACACATGGACACGTCTCGTACGAATCGCATCGCATACCGGGTTTTGTAACGGGAACCGAGGCAAATTTTTGGCAATATAATGCATCGGTTACCGGATTTATTGGATACCGATAGCATGGCAAACCGGGGGTCCACTGTTGTTTAATTTAGTAAAAGTGTTATATTTTATATGGAAATTTTGCTGAATTTACATTAATATTTATGTTACAAAATTATTATATTTTTCTTAATATTTAGCATTAAAACACTTAAAAAATTATATACAGTGGACCCCCGGTTAACGATTTTAATCCGTGCAAGAGGGGTAATTGTTATGCGAAATAATCGTTATGTGAATGAATTTTCCCCATAAGAAATAATGGAAATAAAATTAATCCGTGCAAGACACCCAAAAGTATGAAAAAAAAAATTTTTTACCACATGAAATGTTAATTTTAATACACACAAACTGAAAAAGGCATGCACACTTACATGACACTTACTTTTATTGAAGATCTGGTGATGATTGATGGGATGGGAGGAGGGGAGAGAGTGTGTTAGTGTTTAGAAGGGGAATCCCCTTCCATTAGGACTTGAGGTAGCAAGTCCCTTTTCTGGGGTTACTTCCCTTCTTCTTTTAATGCCACTAGGGCCAGCTTCAGAGTCACTGGACTTCTTTCGCACAAGATATCTGTCCATAGTGGCCTGTACCTCTCGTTCCTTTATGACTTGCCTAAAGTGTTTCACAACATTGTCAGTGTAATAATCACCAGCACGGCTTGCAATAGCTGTGTGAGGGTGATTTTCATCCATGAAGGTTTGCACTTCAAGCCACTTTGCACAGATTTCCTTAATCTTTGTAGTAGGCAACTTCTTCAATTTCTCTCTCCCCCTCCTCTGAACCAGTTTCCTCAGGTCTGGCCTCTTGCTCTTGAAGTTGATCTATCAGCTCATCAGTGGTTAGTTCTTCATTGTCCTCCTCCACCAACTCTTCCACATCCTCCCCACTAAACTCCAACCCCAAGGACTTTCCCAATGCCACAATGGATTCCTCAACTGGCATAATCATCTCAGGGTTAGCCTCAAACCCTTCAAAATCCCTTTTGTCTACACATTCTGGCCACAGTTTCTTCCAAGCAGAGTTCAAGGTCTTCTTAGTCACTCCCTCCCAAGCCTTACCTATAAGGTTTACACAATTGAGGATATTAAAGTGATCTCTCCAAAACTCTCTTAGAGTCAGTTGAGTTTCTGAGGTCACTACAAAGCACCTTTCAAACAGAGCTTTTGTGTACAGTTTCTTGAAGTTGGAAATAACCTGCTGGTCCATGGGCTGCAGGAGAGGAGTGGTATTAGGAGGCAAAAACTTCACCTTAATGAAGCTCATGTCCCCATAAAGTCGCTCTGCCACGTCTGTAGGATGACCAGGGGCATTGTCTAACACCAGGAGGCACTTAAGTTCTAATTTCTTTTCAGTTAGGTAATCTTTCACATTGGGGGCAAATGCATGGTGTAACCAGTTATAGAAAAATTCCCTAGTGACCCATGCCTTAATGTTTGCCCTCCACAGCACACACAAATTATCCTTGAGGACATTCTTTTGCCTGAACGCTCTGGGAGTTTCAGAGTGATACACTAATAAAGGCTTCACTTTGCAATCACCAGTAGCATTGGTACACATGAGAAGAGTAAGCTTGTCTTTCATAGGCTTATGTCCTGGGAGTGCCTTTTCCTCCTGAGTAATGTAGGTCCTGCTTGGCATTTTCTTCCAGAACAGGCCTGTTTCATCACAATTAAACACTTGTTCAGGTTTCAGTCCTTCACTGTCTATGTACTCCTTGAATTCCTGCACATATTTTTCAGCTGCTTTGTGGTCCGAACTGGCAGCCTCACCATGCCTTATCACACTATGGATGCCACTACGCTTCTTAAATCTCTCAAACCAACCTTTGCTGGCCTTAAATTCACTCACATCATCACTAGTTGCAGGCATTTTTTTAATTAAATCCTCATGCAACTTCCTAGCCTTTTCACATATGATCGCTTGAGAGACGCTATCTCCTGCTAGCTGTTTTTCATTTATCCACACCAATAAGAGTCTCTCAACATCTTCCATCACTTGCGATCTTTGTTTCGAAAACACAGTTAAACCTTTGGCAAGAACAGCTTCCTTGATTGTCTTTCTGGTGCCCACAATAGTAGCGATGGTTGATTGGGGTTTCTTGTACAACTTGACTAGGTCGGCGATACGCACTCCACTTTCATACTTATCAATGATCTCTTTCTTCATTTCAATGGGAATTCTCACCCTTATTGGTGTACGGTTGGCACTAGAAGCTTTCTTGGGACCCATGGTCACTTATTTTCCAGAAACAGCACCGAAAACACTGTAATAATACGAAATATTCCGAGTGTATGCTTGGATGTTACCGCGGAGGCTGGCTGGTAAACAATGGCACGGGCAGCACATGTGAGGCTGGCTGAGGGCGCACATTGGACGCGTCTCGGACGAAAATCGGTGAGCGGGTTTTTAATCGGTATGCGCGGCAAAAATTTTGCGATTAAAGTAAGCGGTATGCGGAATAATCTCTATGTGATGCCATCGTTATGCGGGGGTCCACTGTATTGCCACAAAAAAGCCAAAAAGAATTCCATGAATTTGCAGGGATTTCCACGAACAATCACAAGTTAGGTTCTAAGGAGAAATCCACGAATTACTGAAGCCACGAATTCGGAACTGCGAATACGCGTGGGTCCACTGTACAGTACATTTGTTACTTATCTTAAAATATTTGTAGTCTTAATGTAGGGTGAGAGGTGAGTAGTATTTATTTGTAGGAAGTCAGGTATGAGAGGTATGGTAGCCAGCCAGACCAGGCCACCCACATGTAATATGCTATTTATTTATTTATGTATTTGTCTTTGCAAATAGTACATTGACATTTAAATCATCCCAGAGCGATACAGTGCATATACAGTACACTCATTACTTACCTTAAAATATTTGTAGTCTTAATGTAGGGTGAGAAGTGAGTAAACGAGGTAAAACGAATAAACGAGAGAGAGAGAATGAGTAAGTGAGAGAGGAGAGAGGCGCAGAGGATGTAAACAAGCTGATGAACACGTCTGTTTATGGCTGATACACGTTCATCTACACATAACATCTCTACGTGTAACATCTTTAAACGTAACATCTCTGCTGTGGAGTGTATTTATCATGTTTATATGTTCTTTAGCATGTTTATGATATATTTTTGAAAAAAAATATCGTAGATGGGTTAATGAAAATGTTTATATTAATGGAATATACGACATTTAATGTGCCTCAAGGTGATTATTATTGCGTATTATTATTATTATCATTATTAATATGTAGTCCTCAATTCACTCTTAGTGATTTTAACCCTCCAGTTGTCCAAACGTAGAGCTACGTTCGGAATGCTACGCGAGCCAACGTAAATCTGCGTTTGGACATTACAAGGGTTAATGTGTACCTGCACACCAGCACAGTATGTAAATTTACTTAGGTACAGGTACACATAAGTATAATTATCAGAATATATATAAAACATGAAATAACTTTAAAACACTTGAGATTTTGAAAAGTTTCCTGACATAATGGAGAGATGCGGTGCTAAGCAGACTGGGTGGGGCACGACGACTGTAGTAGAAAGTCAGCCAGGGAGAGCTGTATGGCGAGTTTTGGTCATAATTTGAAATGTCCGTATTAGCAGAATGCCATAAGGCAAAAACGCCGTAAAGTGTGGACCTACTTTATTGTCTTGTTGTTGTTTATGTTAACTTGACATAAACCACAGATATATACATATCCTTCCCTTTCTGTTGTACTTGTGCTACATAGATTATATTGCACCATATTGTGAATGCCTTTTGGCAATTTAAATTTTTTTTTATTACTTTTTGTTAACACATCGGCCGATTCCCACCAAGGCAGGGTGGCCCGATAAAGAAAACCTTTCATCATCATTCCCTCCATCACTGTCTTGCCAGAGGGGTGCTTTACACTACAGTTTATGAAACTGCAGCATTAACACCCCTCCTTCAGAGTGCAGGCACTGTACTTCCCATCTCCAGGACTCAAGTCCGGCCTGCAGGTTTCCCTGAATCCCTTCATAAATATTACTTTGCTCACACTTCAACAGCATGTCAAGTATTAAAAACCATTTGTCTCCATTCACTCCTATCAAATGTGCTCATGCATGCTTGCAGGAAGTCCAAGCCCCTCGCACACAAAACCTCCTTTACCCCCTCCCTTCAACCTTTCCTAGTGCAACCCCTACCCCGCCTTCCCTCCACTACAGATTTATACACTCTTGAAGTCATTCTGTTTCAGTCCATTCTCTCTGCATGTCTGAACCACCTCAACGACCCTTCCTCAGCCCTCTGGACAACAGTTTTGGCAATCCCGCACCTCCTCCTAACTTTCAAACTATGAATTCTCTGCATTATGCTCACACCACACATTTCCCTCAGACATGACATCTCCACTGCCTCCAGCCTTCTCGCTGCAACATTCATCACCCATGCTTCACACCCGTATAAAAGTGTTGGTAAAACCATACTCTCATACATTCCCCTCTTTGCTTCCATGGACAAAGTTCATTGTCTCCACAGACTCCTAAGTGCACCGTTCACTCTTTTTCCCTCATCAATTCTATGATGCACCTCATCTTTCATAGACCCATCTGCTGACACGTCCACTCCCCAATATCTGAATGCATTCACCTCCTCCATACTCTCTCCCTCCAATCTGATATCCAATCTTTCATCACCTAATCTTTTTGTTATCCTCATAGCTTTATTCTTTCCTATATTCATTTTTAATTTTCTTCTTTTTCTAACCCTACCAAATTCATCCACCAACCTCTGCAATTTCTCTTCAGTCTCTCCCAAAAGCACAGTGTCATCAGCAAAAAGCAACTGTGACAACTCCAACTTTGTGTTTGATTCTTTATGTTTTAACCCCCACACCTCTTGCCAATGCCTGAGCATTCACTTCTCTTACAACCCCATCTATTGATAAATTAAACAACCATGGTGACGTCATGCATCCTTGTCTAAGGTCTACTTTTACTGGGAAATAATCTCCCTCTTTCCTACATACTCTAACCTGAGCCTCACTATCCTCGTAAAAACTCTTCACTGCTTTCAGTACCCTACCTCCTATACTATACACCTGCAACATCTGTCACATTGCCCCCTATCCACCCTGTCATATGCCTTTTCCAAATCCATAAATGCCACAAAAACCTCTTTAGCCTTATCTAAATAATGTTCACCTATATGTTTCACTGTAAAACACTTGATCTACACACCCACTATCTTTCCTGAAGCCTCCTTTTTCATCTGTTATCCTACTCTCCTCCTTATTCTTAATTCTTTCAATATCAAATCTGTCATACACTTTACCAGGTATACTCAACAGACTTATTAAATTTTTTAATTACTTTAATAATTTTTTGTGCTTTTTAATCTGTCTGCGTGTGAATTTTTTTGATGTTATACATCAGTCATACACTGTTTTATCTTAATTTTGCAGCCTGAGTTCAGTGCTTTTATGCTGCCTTTCATCATACACTCAGCTCTTAGAACAGACTCCATCAATCGAAGGGAAGTTTTATCAAGGCAGTTTGCAGCATTCTTTGAAGATCACGTCAGGACTGTCAAAGCTGCTTCAGGCTCGAGGACAAACAGTGAGCATTGCACAAACACATTTATGCATTATACAGTATTTACAAAAGTAGAATTACTTTACAGGAATGTGAGAGATGGAAATAATATCTTAAAAAATAAAGTAGTAACAAGTAAAACACTGGTGTTCTTGAAGCACCAGTGAACACTGAATGACTTACTGACACTGGTGTTCTTGAAGCACCAGTGAACACTGAATGACTTACTGACACTGGTGTTCTTGAAGCACCAGTGGACATTGAATGACTTACTGACACTGGTGTTCTTGAAGCACCAGTGAACATTGAATGACTTACTGACACTGGTGTTCTTGAAGCACCAGTGAACATTGAATGACTTACTGACACTGGTGTTCTTGAAGCACCAGTGAACATTGAATGGCTTACTGACACTGGTGTTCTTGAGGCACCAGTGAATATTGAATGGCTTACTGACACTGGTGTTCTTGAAGCACCAGAGAATCCTGATTGACTTACTGACACTGGTGTTCTTGAAGCATCAGAGAACACTGACTGACTTACTGACACTGGTGTTCTTGAAGCATCAGAGAACACTGACTGGCTTACTGACACTGGTGTTCTTGAAGCATCAGAGAACACTGAATGACATACACTGGTGTTCTTGAAGCATCAGAGAACACAGAATGACTTACTGACACTTGTGTTCTTGAAGCATCAGAGAACACTGAATGACATACTGACACTTGTGTTCTTGAAGCATCAGAGAACACAGAATGACATACTGACACTTGTGTTCTTGAAGCACTGAGAACACTGAATGACATACTGACACTTGTGTTCTTGAAGCACCGAGAACACTGAATGACTTACTGACACTGGTGTTTGAGGCCAATGTGTGGTGTAAATATTATGCAGAGTTTGGAGATTAGGAAGAGGTTTGGAGTTACAAAAATTATTATTCATAGGGTTGAGGAGGGTTTATTGAGATGGTGTGGATATCTATAGAGAATGGAGAAAAATAGGATGAATTATAGGGTCTATAAATTGGGTGAATGGATGGAGGGATGGGGTCATTCTACAAAAAGTTGGAGGGAGTGGGTAAAGGAGGTTTTAAGTGCTAGCAACTTGAACATCCAGCAGGCTTATGTGAACATGTTAGATAGGAGTGAGTTGAGGCAAGTGTTTTTTTTTTTAATGATTTGACCTATTGGTAATGATTATGGCACCATTTATTAATGGATTCAGGGAAACAAATTAGCCATACTCGAGTCATGGGGTGGGAAATAGAGTGCCTACACTCTGAAGGTAGGAAGGGGGGGGGCTGTTGTGGTGTGGAGGGTTATCTCAGTTGTGAAATCAGCACACTTCTGGCAAAACAGTGATTGAATAAGTTATAGTGAGAGTGTTTTCTTGTTTGCCAGATCACCTTCCCTCAGTGGGAGACAGCCAGTTTAAAAAAAATGTATTCAGGTCAGCCATCACGAATTTGGCAGTCAGTAATCTGGTTCCATCAGTAATCCGGCACTAATTTTGGCTAGCACAATTTCAAATTTCCAGGGTCGCCACACCAACCTGCTGCTACTGTTTAGTGGTGCTACTTGGTACATTATTCATTTCAATTTATTTTTTCCATTTATTGTTTTAACCTGTTCACTTTTAGCCCTAGCTATGGTTCCAATGAATAAAAGAAATGCTTCTCATTGTGTAAGCACATACACTGTACATTGTCCATAAAAGATAAGATGGCTTTGAAGCCACTGTCAGTCGCCATGGGCTCAGCTCACTCAGATAAACTGTGACCGGTAAATTTGGGCCTACATATAAGATTATAGGTCTATGTGGTAAGTGTGCACTATATATAAAAATCCTACAGCATGCAATACAAAATTATAAAAAAAAATTACTACTGTGTTTTTGTTGTAAAACAGTGACATTGCTGTGTATTTTTGTATGGGTTTTATGGTTGTATTCTCGTTTTTAAGGTCTCTTTTGATAGAATTGAAGATACACTACAGAAATATATATGATTTTGATTGGTTTCACGACAGAAAGTACATGTACCTTAAAATTGAGCTGAAAGTAGCGGAAATATTCGATTTTTGCTGATGTTCAAGAGTAAACAAATGATGTCACCTTCCAATACGTGTCCAACTGGCCGGTCTAATATGCAGTCATGAATAGGTTGACATTATTTATACAATTATTACAATGCAGTAGTGTACATAACAGTAAATCATGTTTTTTGTGTGAATAGAAATTAAAAATGGAAAGCAAGTGTAATATAATAGAGGCCTGGAGACATGACTAATGAACAGAGAAAATGTTATTTTAGTGCCAGGAATATCTGCATTGTTTATTCTGGACCCAGTTTGAAATTGGCATCTCTTGAAATTTGCTGAATTACCAGTTTCTGGCCATTTCATTAGGTAATTAACCCTTAAACGGTCCCCACGTATATATACGTTCTCTCGCATAGTGCCCCAAACGTATATATACGTTTCCTTTGTCATTCATTCATTCAACATTGCCATGATAAGCCTGAGTCGCCTAGACATGAAAGAATGGGTGTGCGCACTCACTGTGAGCCATATGAAAAAAATTGGGGATGCCTGGGTACCATATGCTCTTTTTCCTTAACCCTTTCAGGGTCCGTCCCGTAGATCTACGGCTTTACGTTCAGGGTCCAAACCGTAGATCTACGCCATGAGCTCAGCTCACTCTGATAAACTGTGAGTGGTACATTTGGGCCTAGATATGAGAGAATACGTCTATGTGGTATGTGTGCACCACATAAAACAGATCCTGCAGCACATTGTGTATAATGAGAGAAAAAAAATGAAATCATGATTTTTCGATTAAAACAGCAACTTTGCAGTGTTTTTTCGTATGTTTTTTATAGTTGTATTTGCGATTTCTTGGTCTCATTTGATAGAATGGAAGACATATTACAGAAATAGAGATGATTTTGATTGGTTTTAGCATTGGAAATGGCCTGAAACTGAGCTCAAAGTAGCGGAAATGTTAAATTTTTGCCGATATTCAAGAGTAAACAAACGACCTCACACGTCTAATACACGTCAGCTGGTGGGTCTAATATACATTCACAAATATGATGATGATATTTATGCAATTATTACAGTATTGCATAACAGTAAATCTTCTATTTTTTGGTGTGAATAAAAATTCATTATGTGAATAAAAAATCAAAATGGAATTTATTTGTAAAGCCTCAAAACATAACTAATGAACAGAGGAAATGTTAGTTTAGTGCCAGGAATGCCTACATTGTTCATTCTGGACCCTATTTTGAAATTGGAATATTTTGAACTTTGTTTTTAAATTGGCCAAATTAACAATTTCTGATCACTTTATTTTGTAGTTGAAACAGTTGACTTGGCGATTTCTTGTGCTCAATCGATAGAATAGAAGTAATACTAGTGAAATAGCTAAGAATTTGGTTGATTGGAATAATGTAATTGGCCTAAAATGGGAGTCAAAGTCGGCAAAATCGCCGATTCGTAAATATCGCTGACACATCAAAATTCGCGAGAGCATAATTTCGTCAATTTTCCACCAAATTTCGTACTTTTTGTTTTATTACCTTCACAAAAAGATTCTCTACGATTTCATAAGAAAAAATAACAAATTTTTTTTTTTTAAATTCTTGGACACTGGTGCGTGACTCCAGATTTGGGCCTTGGACCCTGAAAGGGTTAAAAAAAAACAAAAAAAAAAATCTCAAAAAAATCAGGGCGCTATGTGAGAGAATGTATATATACGTTTGGACTGTTTATGGTTAAAATAGGTAAATGGGCAGTGTCTTGCACTCATTCAATAGAATAGAAGGTTTACTAGCAAAATATCTGAGTTTGGTACATTGAAACAATGGAACGGGCAAAAATAGGGCATAAATTGGGTAAAATTGCCGATGCGTAAATATCGCCATTCAGTTAAGTGTATTCTAACCTAACCACTCTGTAATCCAGCAAAATCACTAATCTGACATCCTTCAGGTCCGGATGATGCTGGATTAATGATGGTCAACCTGTACTGCATTTGTCATTTTTGCTTAGAAAATTAATGCCCATGCAAAGTTTAAAATTACATGTCATATTTAATGTTTTATATATTATCAGGTAAGAATATGTGCATCAACAAGGCTGGTCTTCAGGTCTTACTCAGTGTTATTGATTATCTTCGTGCTCAAACACCAGACAAGTCTTTTTCTCACAGGTAAGAGTAATAGTTTTGGTTTTGTATCTAAATTGTTCTTCTATTTTGTAAATTGTTAAGAAGTACAGTATGGTACTAATTTACAATAGTAAATAAGTACTAGTTTCCTTCATATTTTTTGTGGGTTCTTTTTCTAAAAATTCACAATATTGTAATGTCCTTTTTCTATTGTTAGTTCTGTATGTGTGTGATATACATTCACTCTGCATCATCACATCTGGCAAAATGTTTTGAAAGATTATTAATGTGTGAAATTAAATGTTGATTGTGTGAGTGAGGTGAGTACAGGTGCCTGATGCCATGGGTCTGCAACACATCTGCTTCATAGAGTAAGGGACACTCTATGTGAATGTGTTCGCACCTGCTTTTTATTTACCATATCCAAGCTAAATGCAATACAGCCTCTCTCTACTTAGCAAAATACTCATTTACTGACGACTCAGACTTACGATGAGGGCTCTGACCAGTATGCATACCTAAATAATGTATATTAGAGCTGATTTCCTCTATTCTGTTTATTACAATATACAGTACATTACTGTATAAACATTTAAATATACTAAAAATGTTACAAATGGTACAAAGCTGACATTAAAGCATTATCAAAGATGGTTGACACAGATTCCCTGATTAGCGATGAATTCATTTGCTGACGTCTTCTTAGAAACAGAACTCCATTGTAAAGTGAGGAGAGGCTGTAATATACAGTGGACCCCCAGTTTACGATATTATTTCATTCCAGAAGTATATTCAGGTGCCATTACTGAATGAATTTGTTCCCATAACGAATATTGTGAATTAGATTAGTCCATTTCAGACCCCCAAACATACACGTACAAACGCACTTGCATAAATACACTTACATAATTGATCGCATTGGGAGGTGATCGTAAAGCGGGGATCCACTGTATTTATTAAATTACGTTAGTAATTTTCTTTAAATTGTGATATACAATTTCTTATTGTGCCATATTAAGATAGAGGTGAGGTAAGTAAATATTAATACTGCAGGATCAGTCAGCATTCTTCACTGAGGAATAAACTTAATATTTCAGAGGAATATTGTAATAGGTTTCATGGGCATGGAATAATAATAAAAAGCTGTTCATTGAATGCAAATAAAAAAATTTAAAAGTGCATTATAGTACAGTGGAACCTTGGTTTTCGTTTGCTCTGGTTTTTGTCGAATTCAGTTTTCGAGGACTTTTTTTTCATCAAAATTTTGTCCCAGTTTTTGTTCATCACCTCGATTTTCACCGGATGCCTTATCAAACGTATCCACCTGTCTGCACCCACACAAAGCATCCCACGCACATGTTCTGAGTCAATCTGGCTTTGATTCTCGTCAATTGAACAATACCCTGCGCTTTCATATGAAACATTTCATAATAATCCATTGTTTTATGTGCTTGTTTATCGAGTGCTACTGCTAAATAAGCCACCATGGGGCCAAAGAAAGTTCCGAGGAATACAATAGAATTGCTTCAGAGGAGGAGGAAGAGAGAGAGGAGAATATGCCTTCTTCAGTGATTAAGGACAAGTGTGCAAAGTGGAGTGAGTTGCAAAGTTTTGTGGAGAAATATCACACTAAAAAAGCTGTTGCAAGCTGTGTCTGCAACATGTTCAGTGACAATACTTTGTCCCATTTTAGGCAGATATTAAAGAGATGCCAGAAACAGACCTCTCTGGACAGATTGTTTGTTCGACAGAGGTACAGTGACTCTCAGCTGGTCCTAGTGTCAGTAAAAGACAAATAATAACAATAATAATAATAATATAATAATAATAATAATAATAATAAGTTTATTTCTTTGTAAAGGTTACAATGTGTAATTACAATTTTGATTTGCTAAATACAAAGATAGCCACTATCATGCCGAGGCATTTCAGGCAAACTAATCGCAATACGTAGTAACTAATTAAAACTAAATAAGATAATAGCACATAGTAATTATACTTACAACCAAACATACAATAGAAGGGAAGTAACCCCGAATAGGGCCTTGATACCTGAAGTCCTTATGGAAGGGGATTCCCCTTCCAAACAATAACCTCTCCTCCCTGTCCTCTCCTCGCCGTCTTCCATACACCAACAAGAGTCTTCAATAAAGGTATAAGTTTTGTTAAATGTTCATTTATCCATTTCATTAGTCCTTTATATTTATTTCTCATTGTTTTCTGTATGTAAAACTATAGTTATTCTCTATAAAATGTATTTTTTGTTAATATTTTTGGGTGTCTGGAATGGATTAATTGGATTTACATTATTTCTTATGGGAAATATTGCTTCAGTTTTCATTGAATTCGGTTTTTGTCAGATTTCCTGGAATGAATTAAAGACGAAAACCAAAGTTCCACTGTATAGGAATGTAGAAAGGTTAAGAATACTGTAGTAATTAGGAAATACATAAATTTCAAATAATGTTGATGGGGAGGTTAGTAAATGTGTGATAATTGAATATGTGACGGGTTAAAAAGATCAATATAAAATTAGTTTTAATAGCAGCAAGACTGCTAGTGTTTAACCTGTAAACGGTCCAAACGTGTATATACGTTCACTACCCCAGTGCCCCGAATATTTTGAAAACTAAAATAATTTTTTTTTTAACCCTTAAATGGTCCAAACGTATATATACGTCCACGTGTGTAGCGCCCCAAATTTTTTGAGAGGAAAAAAATGTTTTTTTTTAATAGCAAAAAAGAGCATATGGTACCCAGGCATCCCCAATTATTTTAATATGGCGCACAGTGAGTGCGCACACCCATTCTCTCATGTCTAGGTGACTCAGGCTTATCATGGCAATGTTGAATGAATGATAAAGAAAACGTATATATACGTTTGGGGCGCTACGCACGTGAACGTATATATACGTTTGGACCGTTTAAGGGTTAATAAAAATAAAGAGCACATTTTTCTAAGTGTTATAGGATTAAAAAAAATTACGGTCAGTACTTACTGAGATATGAGGCTGCGACGTTGGCACTTAATGCTCACCTGACGGCAACATAGAGTCCTGCCGCTTGCAGAAGTTTTGCCGTTATACCATTTTTTCTCAATTTTATATTATTTTATATAATTTTTATGTTCCTCCATGGGGAAGTGGAACAGAATTCTTCCTCCGTAAGCCATGCGTGTCGTAAGAGGCGACTAAAATGCCAGGAGCAAGGGGCTAGTAACCCCTTCTCCTGTACATATTACTAAATATAAAAGGAGAAACTTTCGTTTCTCCTTTTGAGCCACCCTGCCTCTGTGGGATACGGCCGGTGTGTTGAAAGAAGAAGAAGAATTTTTATGTTCTGATAATTACAATTTATTGTAGTTCTTGTCATTTCATAACCAATCTTCATTCTGACACTGATATTAGGTACTGAAATTATACTCAAAATGTCACAAACACATTGACAGGTGGACAGGTGGTCATTTACTGTTGTCTAGGAATATATGCAAAGTATTTATATGTCCCAGCAATGTTTTGGATACACAAGAGTATAGAAGAAGCAGAAGGAAGAAGGAAGAAATTCCCTTGAAGCAATATGTAAGACAAGTGTTCAGTGACAAGCATTCGGGAGGGCAGTGCTAAGATCAGATATGAGATGACATTTGATGGACCCCAGCGAGGGTGCAGAGATAAGACAAGATAGTGCAGAGATAAGAGGAGATAAGCTATGACATTTGATAGGTGCCAGCAAGGGTGCAGAGATAAGGGATGACATTTGATGAGCTCGTATCTCTGATTATCTATCTCTCTGTCTGCTTGTCTCTTTCCATCTCTCTGCTTTTGTCTCTGTCTCAGAGAAAGCCACTGTGAACCAACAGGTATTCTTATGGATTATATCTACAAGTGCAGTATAGCACTTTGGATTTTTTAGGCTATCCTAGGTAATTTACACTATGTCTAATTGTATTTGTGTGTACCTGTGAGATAGACAGAGACAGATAGACAGTTCCTAAACTTGGGGTTAACATTACTTTCCTCTTAAAAGGGGAGTGTTAATATGACATTACATAAGTGAATCCTTGGTGTTTGCCACACTGTTTGCTCCAGCTGGTGCTCAATATAACTGCTGCTCCTACAAGGTATTAAGTGGTCCCAGATTTCTTTAATATGTTGCACACCGAGTGTTAAGTCCCATTCTATGCTGACCAGGCATCTCAGCCCAGTCGTGCCAGATTTGGAGGCAGGAAAAATAAAATGTATATTTACGTTTGGGGCACTAGCAGTAAGAACATATATATACGTATGGACCATTTACGGGTTAAGAGAAGTGAAGCATATTATTATGATAAGTCACCACTGTGGTATAAACCACACTTTAGAGAGCAAACTTTACACAACATTTTTATCAGTTCTTAATCATTATGTTGTGAATTATTGTAAACACAGTGTTATATTGTTTTACTGAAGCACATAGTTGGCAACGTATATAGTAACTTACATTGACTTTGCTTGTTAATGAGTTGTCAACAATCAAACTAAATTTTGTTATTAACATTTAATTTTTGTTTTGTATTTGACAGAAGCACAGTGACTCCATGGGAAAGAAACTTGTGGCTAGAGGTGAATTACCTTCAGGTAGCTGAGGCAGCTCACTATTGTGGTGCACACTTTTCTGCACTTCTTTTCCTGCATCTGCATTGTAAGTAACTTATCTATATTCTACTCTGTAGTATCATTATATAGTAATTACTTTTATATATCTACAAAAGTAATACTGTACTATTGTAAGTAACTTATCTATATTCTACTCTGTAGTATCATTATATAGTAATTACTTTTATATATCTACAAAAGTAATACTGTACTATTGTAAGTAACTTATCTATATTCTACTCTGTAGTATCATTATATAGTAATTACTTTTATATATCTACAAAAGTAATACTGTACTATTGCTGTTTCATCTTTAGTATTTAAACAACAGTATAATTTTGTTTTAAATTCTGTTATTTGTAGCATTCATTATTTTTCTTCTAAGCAATTATTTTATTCTATCATTTTGTTACGAAGAAATTGCTAGTGTGTTTCAGCACCTTTGTTTTATAGTTTACAACTCTGGTTTCCTCTTCTCTTAGTCGATGGAATCACAAAATTTTCTCTGTTCTTTTATGATGTTGTCTGTAGTAATTGTCTTTTTTTTTTATCCACCAATTGTATCATATCTGATGTTTCAACCTTCCTTCATAACGTTTGTTTTTCTTTTTCTTTTTAGCCCTGGAAGATCTTGATTTGGTTGCTCATCTTCACAACTCTCTTAGCATGTTCATGTGTTTTTTAGGTGTGGTCATTTTACCGCTACTACCTATTTTATTTTTTTATCATTTTCCTTAGCATATAGAGTATTCCCCTGGTATCCCTGGGGGATACCTTCCAAGGTCTACTGGGGATACCTGACACCCTGGATAGTAGTGAACCCTATATATAAGTCATTTTTTTTTTTTTTACATACTTTTTTTTTCAACAAGTCGGCCGTCTCCCACCGAGGCAGGGTGACCCAAAAAAGAAAGAAAATCCCCAAAAAGAAAATACTTTCATCATCATTCAACACTTTCACCTCACTCACACATAATCACTGTTTTTGCAAAGGTGCTCAGAACACAGCAGTTTAGAAGCATATACGTATAAAGATACACAAACATATCCCTCCAAACTTCTCATATCCCGAACCCCTCCTTTAGAGTGCAGGCATTGTACTTCCCATTTCCAGGACTCAAGTTCGGCTATATAAAAAATAACCGGTTTCCCTCAATCCCTTCACTATATATTACCCTGCTCACACTCCAACAGATCGTCACGTCCCAAATACCATTCGTCTCCATTCACTCCTATCTAACATGCTCATGCACACATGCTGGAAGTCCAAGCCCCTTGCCAACAAAACCTCCTTTACCCCCTCCCTCCAACCCTTTCGAGGACGACCCCTACTCCGCCTTCCTTCCCCTACAGATTTATACGCTCTCCATGTCATTCTACTTTGATCCATTTTCTCTAAATGACCACACAACCTCAACAACCCCTCTTCAGCCCTCTTGACTAATACTTTTATTAACTCCACACCTTCTCCTAATTTCCACACTCTGAATTTTCTGCATAATATTTACACCACACATTGCCCTTAGACAGGACATCTCCACTGCCTCCAACTGCCTCCTCGCTGCTGCATTTACCACCCAAGCTTCACACTCATATAAGAGTGTTGGTACTACTATACTTTCATACATTCCCTTCTTTGCCTCCATAGATAACTTTTTTTGTCTCCACATATACCTCAACTCACCACTCACCTTTTTTCCCTCATCAATTCTATGATTAACCTCATCCTTCATAAATCCATTCGCTGACACATCGACTCCCAAGTATCTGAAAACATTCACTTCTTCCATACTCCTCCTCCCCAATTTGATATCCAATTTTTTTTTATCTAAATCATTTGATACCCTCATCACCTTCCTCTTTTCTATGTTCACTTTCAAATTTCTACCTTTACACACACTCCCAAACTCATCCACTAACCTTTGCAATTTTTCTTTAGAATCTCCCATGAGCACAGCATCATCAGCAAAAAGCAGCTCTGTCAATTCACATTTTGTATTTGATTCCCAATAATTTAATTCCACCCCTCTCCCGAACACCCTAGCATTTACTTCTTTTACAACCCCATCTATAAATATATTAAACAACCATGGTGACACTACACATCCCTGTCTAAGACCTACTTTTACTGGGAAGTAGTCTCCCTCTCTTCTACACACCCTAACCTGAGCCTCACTATCCTCATAAAAACTCTTTACAGCATGTAGTAACTTACCACCTATTCCATATACAGTGGACCCCCGCATAACGATTACCTCCAAATGCGACCAATTATGTAAGTGTATTTATGTAAGTGCGTTTGTACGTGTATGTTTGGGGGTCTGAAAGGAATAATCTACTTCACAATATTCCTTATGGGAATAAATTCGGTCAGTACTGGCACCTGAACATACTTATGGAGTGAAAAAATATCGTTAACCGGGGGTCCACTGTACTTGCAACATATGCCACATTGCTCTCCTATCCACTCTATCATATGCCTTTTCTAAATCCATAAATGCAAGAAAAACTTCCCTACCTTTATCTAAATACTGTTCACATATATGCCTCAATGTAAACACTTGATCTACACATCCCCTACCCACTCTGAAACCTCCTTGCTCATCCGCAATCCTGCATTCTGTCTTACCTCTAATTCCTTCAATTATAACCCTACCATACATTTTTCCTGGTATACTCAGTAAACTCATTCCTCTATAATTTGTACAATCTCTTTTGTCCCCCTTCCCTTTATATAAAGGGACTATACATGCTCTCTGCCAATCCCTAGGTACCTTACCCTCTTTCATACATTTATTAAACAAAAATACCAACCACTCCAACACTATATCCCCCCTGCTTTTAACATTTCTGTCATGATCCCGTCAGTTCCAGTTGCTTTAGCCCCTTTCATTCTACGTAATGTCTCATGCACCTCTCCCACACTCACATCCTGTTCTTCTTCACTCCTAAAAGATGGTATACCTCCCTAGCCAGTGCATGAAATTACCGCTTCCCTTTCTGCGTCGACACTTAAAAGTTCTTCAAAATATTCTCGCCATCTACCCAAAACCTCCATCTCCCCATCTACTAACTCCCCTACTCTGTTTTTAACTAACAAATCCATTCGTTCTCTAGGCTTTCTTAACTTGTTTAACTCCAAAAATTTTTCTTATTTTCTTTAAAATTTCTTGACAGTGCCTCTCCCACTCTATCATCTGCTCTCCTTTTGCACTCTCTCACCACTCTCTTCACCTTTCTTTTACTCTCCATATACTCTACTCTTCTTATAACACTTCTGCTTTGTAAAAACCTCTCATAAGCTAATTTTTTCTCTTTTATCACACCCTTTACTTTATCATTCCACCAATCACTCCTTATTCCTCCTGCACTCACTCTCCTATAACCACAAACTTCTGCCCCACATTCTAATACTGCATTTTTAAAACTATTCCAACCCTCTTCAACCTCCCCACTACTCATACTTGCACCAGCCCACCTTCCTGCCAATAGTTGCTTATATCTCACCCAAACTTCCTCCTCCCTTAGTTTATGCACTTTCACCTCCCTCTTGCTTGTTGTTGCCATTTTCCTCTTTTCCCATCTTCCTCGTACTCTAACTGTAGATACAACTAAATAATGATCCGATATATCAGTTACCCCTCTATAAACGTGTACATGCTGGAGCCTACCCATCAACCTTTTATCCTCCAATACATAATCTAATAAACTTCTTTCATTACATGCTATATCATGCCTTGTAAATTTATTTATCCTCTTCTTCATAAAATATGTATTACTTATTACCAAACCTCTTTATACAACATAGCTCAATTAAAGGCTCCCCATTTTTATTTACCCCTGGCACCCCAAATTTACCTACTACTCCCTCCACATCATTTTTGCCCACTTTAGCATTGAATCCCCAACCACCATTACTCTCACACTTGATTCAAAACTCCCCACGCATTCACTCAACATTTCCCAAAATCTCTCTCTCTCTTCTACACTTCTCTCTTCTCCAGGTGCATATACACTTACTATAACCCACTTTTCACATCCAACCTTTATTTTACTCCACATAATCCTTGAATTAATACATTTGTAGTCCCTCTTTTCCTGCCATAACTTATCCATCAATATTATTGCTACTCCATCTTTAGCTCTAACTCTTTTTGAAACCCCTGACCTAATCCCATTTATTCCTCTCCACTGAAACTCTCCCACTCCCTTCAGCTTTGTTTCACTTAACCCTTTCAGGGTTTCAGCTGTACTAGTACGGCTAATGAGCCAAGGTTTTTGACGTACTAGTACGCCTAAATTCTAGCGCCCTCAAATCTAGTGAGAGAAAGCTGGTAGGCCTACATATGAAAGAATGGGTCTATGTGGTCAGTGTGCGCAGTATAAAAAAAATCCTGCAGCGTAATGAGAAAAAAAAACTTTGACCGTGTGCTTGGATTAAAACAGCGACTTTGCACTGTATTTTCGTATGGTATTTATTGTTGTATTCTAGTTTTCCTGGTCTCATTTTATAGAATGGAAGACATATTACAGAAATTGAGATGAGTTTTGACTGGTTTTACAAAGGAAAGTGCCTTGAAATGAGCTCAAAGTAGCAGAAATGTTTGATTTTTACCAATGTTCAAAAGTAAACAAATCATGCCAAGAGTCCAATACACATCAACTGGTGAGTCTAATATTCTTTCACAAGTGCGCTGATATTATTTATACCATTTCTACACTAATGCAGTAGTCTGCATAACAGTAAATCTTCATTTTTTTTGTGAGGATAAAAATTCAAAGTGGAAAGCAAAAGAATGTAAGAGGGGTCTAGGGATGTGACTAATGAACAGAGGAAATGTTATTTTAGTGCCAGGAATGTCTTTCTTGTTTATTCTGAACCCTATTCGGAAATTGGCATCTTTTGAAATTTGTGTGAAATTGGCAAAATTGCTAAATTCTGAGCACTGTATTGGATAGTTGAAATCGGTAAATGGGTGGTTTCTTGTACTCATTCGATAGAAAAAATGAAGTTCTAGCGAAATAGTTATGATTTTTGTCAACAAG